ATTTTAAGACACCAATTTAACCAAGAAAAGTTTTTTCAAATATTTGAAAGAGAGATATGAATTTTTCTATTTGATAATAAGAAATAAATAGAAAACTTTGAGGCGGACGACCTTCCCGTTACAATTAAGAGCTCATACTTGAAGGGACTTACTTAAAGGCGTCTAAGAACCTATTTTTTAGAGTAGCAAGCGAAAAAAATATTCGATTTTGTTGATCCAACCTATTCTATACACTTTATAGGGTCTCTGACGTTTCCTGCTATGTGTTCAGGGTACAATGAAAATAAAATTTCCAATATGATCGAATCAATATGAATTGTTACAAACGGCTAAAAAAAACAGCTCAGTTATGGCTGACAATGAGGCTGCATTGAAAAAGGTATTTGAGCTTCTCAATAAAAGAATTTTCTTTGTCTTACATATACTATCAATATTTTGGTTCAAAATGTCCTAAAATTGAACATTACTGATTTCATTTCTAAAGTCCCAACTAGTTTTGGAACCACAAGTAGTGAATTATTTTATACCTATAATATTAGCAGTACATGCACAAAAGGGGATCTGGGTGTAAATATATCGGGGGAGTCTACACTACACTAAATCAATGCGAAAATGATATTTCTTAGGATTGGCTAGTTTTCATTCCAGCAAAAAAGTAACAAAGTAAACTCTAGTGGCGCCATCTATGTGTCAATCTGCTATCCTTTATCGACTTCCAGTAAAAATTTCATGATGTTTCATCTATTGGAAGTGAAGTTATTGCGTTTTAAGTGTCAGCACGTTTTTGTCATCGGTGCGAAAATGAGCTTCGAACAAAGAGACAACATTAAATTTTGTTTTAAAATTGGTAAAACTTTTACCCAAACGTTTCAATTGATGAAACAAGTTAATGGCGATGATTGCCAATCCCGTAGCAGAGTGCACGACTAGTTTCAACGTTTTCAAAGTGGTCGTGAGGACATAAATGACGATGAACCGAAACCCAAAAAAACCCATTGAAGACAATGCTGATTTGTTTTTATGATTCCGAGGGTATTGTCCACAAAGAATTTGTTCCACCCGGCCAAAGCGTTAATGCGGTATTCCACCTTGGAGTTTTGAAGCGTTTGGTGCGCCGTATTCGTATTCGAAGTTGTCGTTTGTTGCACGATAATGCGCCGTCTCATAGATCGACGCTTGTGGCCGATTATTTGACCAAAAATCACATTTTAGCAATCAACCACTCCCCGTATTCACCTGATATGGCACCGTGCGACTTCTACCTTTTCGGAAAAATGCATTTGCCGATGAAAGGAAAGCGTTATGCAGACGTGGAGCCCATTCAAAAGGCTTGCACCGGCATACTGGCGGCCATACCGAGCAACGAGCTAAAACGCTCGTTCGACATGCTTTTAGACCGTGCAAAAAGCTGTATTAAAGCAGAAGGAGACTATTTTGAATAAAATTAATTGATTTTGCCTATAAAACCATTTGTTCTGTCTTTTTTTTAAAAGCCCTGTTTACTTTGGAACGCTCCTTGTAGTATCAACAAATTCTTGCTTATGAATATAACCTTGAACCAGTATGAACATTGAAGGTGACCGATTAGCCAAGTTTGAAGAATAACAAGTAAGGAAGGGCTAAGTTCGGATGTAACCGAACATTTGATACTCTCGCAAAGTCAAATGGTATACTCCTTTTAGATTTCTTTCTGGATCTTGCCGCCTTGTTCTATGTTGACCGATATTTTTAGTAAAAAGTCAGCTATAGTCAGTACTTAGGGGCTTGAACAGTTTTGATTCGATTTAGACAATTTTTGGTCACAAAGTGGCATACTTTAAACGTATTATTCAAGCAAAGTTGTACGCGGATATAATCATTGTTGCTTGATTTGCATACTGGAGAGTGAAAACATCAGATGCGATGGGAGTGGGCGGGGTTGTCACCCGATTTCACCCATTTCCACACCGTAGATAGAGGTGCTAAAAATATTTGTTCTCAGTGAATTTTGTTATTATAGCTTTAGCAGTTTAGGAGATATGCACATTAAACCGCAGATGCCCCTTAATGCGATCCTGTGTGCCAAATACCAGCCTTGTATCTTATTGTGGAGCTTAGTTATGGCAATTTATTTGTTTTTGATTAATGGCGTTTTGTGGGCGTGGCAGTGGTCCGATTACGCCCATCTGCAATACCAACCGTCTCACGGTAGCAAGAAACATGTCTACCAAGTTTCATAAAGATATCTCAATTTTAACTCAAGTTACAGCTTGCACGGACGGACGGGCGGACAGACAGTCACCCGGATTTCAACTCGTCTCTTCATCCTGATCATTTATATATACATAACCATATATCTAACTCAATTAGTTTTAGGTGATACAAACAACCGTTAGGTGAACAAATCTAATATGCTCTGTAGCAACATGTTGCTAGAGTATAAAAACTATAAACAAGTAAGGAAGGTCTAAGTTCGGGTATAACCGAAGATTTTATACTCTTGTAACTTGCAAGGATCAAAGCAGGAAAAAGCCTTCAGAAGCTGGCAAATTTTAAATCAAAAATGTTACGAAATAATTTAACATTCATTATTCGACGAAATAGTGAATGAATTATAATCAAATTTGTGTTTTACTAACTTATATTATAGCTCATAGACTCACTTAGTTTTTTTACTATATTTTACTTCGCGTGAGCTAAAGTTATATTGAAACCATCTTCTAATGAATTTAATTTATGAATTGATGTGGAAAACGTCAACCAGAAGATCGAAATTGATTAAATTAGTGAAATGCGGTTTTGGCGCAGGTCGACACCACTTTCATTCACCGCTAAACCGTATCATTTTGAAGAAAGCTTGTCCACTTATTTCATGAAAATAACAATCATTTTGAGGTAATGGGTTTAAATTCAGTTGGAAAGTCGGAAATCCCAATATTGGGTCTGGGCTGATTGCATTAACTTTTGACATTATTCGGGTATAATTGAAAGCATATGATCAACACATTTTTTATTGGTATAACAAAAATCATTATAGGTGGCATATAGGTGTCGAGGTAATTGGTGCAGCATAATCACATATTATCGGTATTTTTTGTATACATACATACATACATACATTTCTTTAAAAGAAAAAGATGCTCTCTGAGTTTCATTAAGTTACCTTACTTACCATCACAAATATTTTAGAATTAAAATCACCCGGATGTTTGAAAATCTTGTTATTAGTTATATAGGGGCAAGAGTAAGTTTTCGTTTTGTGCACAAAGTCGCACCATTACTAGAAAAATCTATACGAATATGTTATCAAACTCTATATTAGTTTCATAAACACCGAATTTATTATACTTTTGCTTTCTTTTTGGCGAGCAGTGGTCAGTGATAAAACCGAGAAAATTGTTTTACCATAATCTATATAACGACAGTATAGAGTCAGAATTGTTATAGAATACATTTTAGTTAATGGGTGAAATTTATTATTCGAATAGCCAGAAATATAAGAAATCACGATTGTTCCGAAAATGAGTATGTGTACACCTAAAATTCTGAAAATAAGTACGAATACCGAAGCCGTTGAATTTACGTCTACAGCAAACTTCTATTTACAGTTTATGCAAATAAATTTTTGAATGAATGTAGCGGTCAAAAAAGCGGTGACACCTAAAAAAAACAATAACACCTCTTATTTAAAATAAAAAAGATTTCCATCAAATCTGTTTCTTCTTTTTACAATCGTAAACTATTATATGTATTTTTATTAATTGTAAGAGTGTAGTTTAGTTTCCGATATTATGTCTGTTCCGGATTGTTTCGAGTTGCAAAACAAATGTTTGTATACATAGATCTTGACGCCTTTAAAGTAGTGCAGCGAACTACTCTCGAATGAGATAATAAGAATATATTCGACTACAAGTAATACATGTTGGAGCATCGTTTTTATTTTTGAAAATATTCGAATTTAGCTTCGTTTTATTAACTCGGTTAACGGTTTAACATGCAGAAAAAATGTTGAACTGTATTTGAATGAAATTAATACGAATAAGAAAATCATCACAATAGATTGCGGCATGTGTGTTTGAATTTCGAAATAAAACTACTATAATTACTATCTAACTATAAAAACTGCAGATATGCCTTAAACTGTAGAAAACTGCAAAATTCACAAATAATTAAAGCGATAAGAATAAAAAACGTAATAGTTGAACAAGTTATGGAATTCTCAATCTGTGAATAATTTTTCATTTTATGTTGATCGCATACATAATTTAGCCATTTATCTATTTCTTATGGGGGTAGCAGTAAAACTCGATTTCGGACGCCGACCTCAGACGAATGGAATGACGAAAACTTGAAATTTAGTAAAAGCAACTGTTAAAAAGTGAAAGGGTTCATCGCTAAACAACAAACTAAACGCAGTAGTCATGTGACGCTCAAGAGAGCAAAAACAACAACAGTGGGCAAACAGAATTCAAAAGCTTCAAGATTAATGAATGTCTGACGAACTATTGTGACGACGAAAGATCACTATTCACAAGTTACTATAACCTAAGCAATTTAATTAAATTATTTTTGCAAACTCCTACATTGCATAGGTCAATTCATGTGGCAGCAAGCCACAAACAATGAGCCAATAAATATGTCAATGGGAATGTTAACAACAAAATGTTAAACTGTAAAACTAAATATAAATAAAACCTTCAAATCGGTTGGTTGTGCATTGTGGAAGTTTTTGGATGTTTTTGTTGCTTGATTTTGTATTTATTCAATTAAAACGACCAACATGAATGAGTTTCCACTTGAAAAACAAAAGTCCACACATAATTCACACAAGCATATTTGTATCTATGGTATGTATGTGCGTTTATAAGAGCAGCTCTTAGGCGGCCTCCAAAGTCAGCGAGCGGCAGAAGATATCAAGTGGCTTTGAACCGGTAAATAGAAACTATAATGCAGTCAACGGATTAAGATTTTAATGATGCTAATTTGCAAATCTTTGAGAAAAAATCACACGTTGTTATGTATTTTTTTGTTTGAGATTTTTGTATATTTCTTTTTTTGTCGATATGTAAATAGTATGGCAAGTATTTTAATCAACCATTTGTAAAGCTACAAGCACACAAAATGAGAGTGACACAAAACAGTTATATTTAGCTAAAGTTATTTTCAAAAAAATAAAAGTGAACAAAAACGTTATTTAAAAATATGTACAAACCAAATTTAAAAAGAAAAAAATTTGTGCAAAATTATTTTGAAGAATAAATAATTAAAAAGTAGAAAATAATAAACATAGTTTTATAGGAAAAAAAGAGTAAAAGAGTATAAACAATTCAACAAATAAAATATTTTAACAAAAATAAAAAAAATGTAATTTAAAAAAAAACTAATATACTCTGTAGCAACATGTTGCGAGAGTATAATAATAAAACAAAAAAGATTAAATAATATACAAAAAAAAAAAATAAAATAAAAACAAAATAAAACTATTAATAAAATATATTAAAAAAAATGTATAAAAATTTGGAACTATAAAGAAATTTACATTAAACATTTTATGAACAATACACAGTTCCTTAAAAAAAAACAAAATTATGTGTCGCAGAGTAAAACGCCTAAAAGAGTACAATTTTGGCTGCATCCTCACTTTTATATTGAACGTGTGTATGTATGTATGTTGGCAATCGTGAAAGAAATAAATTTAACAGTTACTTATATTTAATGGCAGAGCAGAGCACCGCTCCGCGTCGTAGAACTAAAACTATGACTGGTGATTGATGATGAGCAGCGCCTAGGTCTTCAGCTAAATCACTATATAAAAATTTAAATTGCTTTGCTATTGCTGTTGTTGTTGCTAGTTTTATGAATTTAGCTCCGAATTAACCAGCCTCTTTTGCACCAGCGCAACATAAGGCAGCGCATTAAAACGGCTAAGTGTTTCATCGGCGCTTGCGTTGCGGATAAACGGTGCCGTACGAAGTAACCGCGTTGGCCAGCTCGCTGAAGGAAGTGCCCGCCTGCAACGGCAACGGTTGCACCTTGATTGGCGCTATATTGATGGGTAGCGGTAGTTTCAGATTTACGGAAGCATCCGATGAATCGATGGCGCCTTCCGACGCAATATCATTGCTGGACTCGAGGGTCTGCGCAATGGATGGTGGCAACGACAGCGCTGAGGGTAGCGCGCGCGCCGCTGACACTGAAGCTGCCGCAAGAACATTGCCGCCATAAGTGTAACCCTGACTGGTCAGGGCTGAGGTGAAGGCGACATTTTCCAGCGCAGACGAGGAGAACTGCTGCGCCACTTTGGTGGATGGTTGTACGTTTCGGTAGTATTGTTGTTGTTGCGGTTGCACATAACGTTGCTGCGCATACCGAGAGTGCTGTTGTTGGAATTGATAGTGTTCCGGCGCTGCTGCGCCCACATTGGCGGGTATGGTGAGTGGATAGCGCGGCGTCGGGTAGTGATAGTAATGCGGGGGCACGTAATTGGGACGCTGTGCGGCACGGGCGGCATGCATGACGGCGAGTGCGGTGCACAGGCATATTGCGGGGGTCTGAAAAAAGTAGTGTTGGTTATTGACAATTGAACGCAAGTAAAGAATTTCGTTTTGCTTTTGTTTGCTCACATAGTGCCACATTTTGGAATAAGCTCGGCTTGCAGCTCAGTTTATGCGACGACAAATACTTGTTTGTATGTGAGCGCTGCAGCGAAATTTCAACGCTTTTCAAATGTCGTTGTAAGAGTTGGCAAATAACACACACACACACACACACACCAATAGTTTCGTTGCAATTTTTGTCACTCGTAAAATTTTTTCAAAACTTTATCTTTTGCACTGCAAGTTTGTTGCGTGGGTCTTCTGTTGACACTGTGCAATCATTAAGTCACTACAGTAAACACAAACGCTCACACTAGCATGCAGCAGTGATAAGCAAGTGTCTGGCAACTCCTTTATTGACACACCGTTTCGTTTTGCGCGCGCGTTCTAAGGCCAACTTGAGTGTCCGTTATTGACCGTATATTTACTTTCGCGAGCTCATCGTTTTTCGTGTTTCTATTTCATCCGTTTTTTATGAATGTTTTATTAATTATTTATTATTTTTTTCTTTTTCGCAATCACACGATCGTCTAATCGAGTAAGGCGGCAGGCAGTTGTCAACTTGTCGAGCTTTTTTAACTGATTAAACTTTGTTCGCTAGCTAAAGATGCTTTTTATAGGAATTCAACGCTTTGTCTTCATTTCGTTCATTTTATTTCGTTTAATACACATGTTTGCTATCCGCTTGTCCGTGCGTTCGCTTGAATTTATAACCATTTGTGTTTTTTCGTTCAAAATGCGTTGGATTTTTCGAATTAATTTATATATCTTTTTCTTTTTCTTCTTTTGACATTTTCATTGCTTCATTTTTCTCCGCCAACATGTTTGCTAGCTACCACAAATCGAGCAACTGGTTTGTTGTTGCTGTGATTGACGCTCACCTGTTGTCTGTTGGCCGCTCGTCAACAGATCTTTTGCTGCTCTCAGGTCATTGTTGGTACTGACGCGCTCTGGTCGCAGTTAATGTCTCAGCTGACAGTGTCAATTGCCGTTCATCTGCCGCGCGGACGTTCGTCAGCGGTGTTGATTTTTGTATTTACAATGTTTGGTTTCGATGCATTTTTGTTTTTGTTTCGCGTGCACCTTCACTGGCCGTGCTTATTAGCGTTTTTTCGCTTAAGTGTTTTTTTCCGGTGTTTGTGGTGGATCGTCATTTCTCAACACTCGTGATGCATAATTCGAGCGAGCCTCTGACAAAACAATGGCGTAGCTAGAAAAATGTTGACTTAATTTCGGATTTTCTACGCGAAGCACAGATTCATGTTATTTTGGTGATTGTCTTCCAGTTCTCAAAACTGTGCCGTTAACATTGTTAGGTTTCATTTTTAATGATTAGATTCCTCTTTGAATTGTTTTTCGTGTAGACTGAGCTAGTTTTTCTGTGTTGTTTTAATTGTAGGCTAAAGTGTTTAACGCTTTGTCTTCGCTGCTTTTCCCACTTTGCGAAGTTGTCGCTGGATTTGGCGCACCACGTGATTAGTAAGATGGTTAGCTTTGAATTTTTGACCATGAAAAGATAACCGTTGAACTCGGCATGACGTGAAGCGTCAGTTATATACATTTTTTTTACAGTTAATTAAATCGAATTAAAATAATAGTTTATTAAAAGCTCGCATTTTTTGATATTCTGGGTAGGTTTTAAGTTCGCTAATGTATAGCAATTGAGTATTCAACGGCGACGGATATCATAGTCAGAGATGTGTACTTCAACCCCATAGGCCTGGATATAGTCTGTGAACTATTGTGACCACCTGACAATGTGCCGTTCATCCCCAACACTCTGCTTATGCCTGAGGTCAGAGAGGCATTAAGCTCCCTATATATCATATATGCAATCAAGAAGTAAGTGTTCCTTAAGATAATATGCCCATATACTTATATAAATATCTTTTAAATCTACATTAATTTGTTCATAATGCACATGTACCCTAATATTGTCCCTTGCTCGAACCTTTTAGTGTTATATGCTTCCATCAGTAATTTAACTTAGGAAAGGATTAATAATATAAAGACGCTGTTTGTCTCCGTCATTCTTCTTTTCGGAACTTCTCCCTTATGGTATGAGGTTATATTGCAAAGAAGGCTTCTGGTTCTAATAGGGTAGTCTATACCGATAGATTTTTGAGCCTTTCAAAACACCCCTGGACGAGTAATGTTTTAATTTCATAACACAAAAAGTGCGACTTGATTTTGGTTTAGTAGGACTACACGGTCATTGCTATGATTGCGCTGGCAATTTAACGATAAGGGAATTTCGTCCAAAGTATGTAATAGATGTTAAGATGAAGACACAGAATTTATAATATGATTAAATTACGATTATATTGAACATTTTTTTTTACAAACTTCAAATTTTAGACAGTTTTTATTTACTTAAAGCACATTTATTTTTATCAAATATTTGTTAGCGATGATTCGTTTGTGAGTTTTTCTTATTATAAATAGCCTAATGTTAGTTAAAGATTTAGAGCACAGAGTTTTTAAATGTTTATTGAAGTAACATTTCTATAAAAAGTCTCCTAGTAAATTTTTTTTTAATTTACTCACTCTGCCGAACTGGAAGCTTTGCGAAAGAATTCACCATTCGCTATTCCTTGAAGTTATGAATGGACTACAATCATATTTGATATCTTATTTTGGCAGATTGTCCCCGTTTCATCCACCGATTGCCCGAGTATGGGGTCAGCGCATGATGTATTGATTGATTGCATGATGCTTGCATGTTTACCTGTACCGTTTCGACGGATGCGATGCAGGTCTTGTTAGGTGCACCCCCTCTTGATCTGATTTTCACATGTGGAGAGGGAGGAATATCTAGGGAGCAAGAGGCTTCTAGATTATAGGGTCAGGAGTAGGTGGCAAGACCGTTGGGGCAACAGCCTTAACGGTTGGGTGATACACGGGTACATGTTAGTTGAGGGTAACCCAGACTTCAGATTCTGTCTGAGTCTGTGTTTCTTAATTACGGGGCATGGGCATTAAATGCATTCTGGCATTAGAGAAACCCATCTGATAGGTTGGGGTGTTTATGTGCGGCGCGTTTAGAGGATTGGGTGCACGTTATCGCGGAATGCCAATGGACAATTAGGGTCGATTGGGCGCGAGTTGTTTAGGCGGCGAAGGCGTTTAACTAGGAATTCGGGTTAGCTTCTTGTGTGAATGGTGTGTGCGTGTAATGTGCGTATGAGGTTCAACCCCTGGCGAACGCATTGCTTTGATCCGCTGTGCTGTGTGTTGATCGCCGTGGGGTAAGGCTGTCGTCAGCAGTTACCCATGTAAAACACGCTGGATGTTGCCACTTAAATATTTACACCCTTGTAACTAAAAGCGAATACAGCGGTATCTATGTAACGCTATTCTTATACTCTTGCAACATGTTGCTACAGAATATAATAGTTTTGTTGTTGTAAAAATAATCAAGTTAGATATAGAGTTATAAATGATTAGGATAAAGAGACGAGTTTAAATCCGGGTGACTGTCTATCCGTCCGTTCGTCCATCTTTCAGTCTGTGTAAGCTGTAACCTAAGTAAAAATGTACATAGCTTGATGTAACTTGGTACATGGGCGAAGGATATGCCTAACTTTCAGTGCAAACTCGGATTAAACCAGGCGTACTTCCAATGTATACATATTTAAATTGTTTTAATTGACGTTTTGCCAACTACTGAATGTATTTAGCCGGATTTGATACTTTCAAGTGCAAGAGTATAAAATGTTTGGTTACAGCCGAACTTATTCTGTCTTACTTGTTTGTTCTAAATACCCTTTTTATTTTTAAAAACTAGGTAAACTGCTACTTTATGGCTGTAGGTATGTCATGAAACAATGTAGAAAAGACAGATAGGTCTTAAACTGACCTGCTCATACCCTGGACTTCGGATTTACCGAAGGAGCATTTATGGCCGCATTTGATAGAAGAAGCAGCCAACAAGTATTGCTCAGCTGAAAGAAGTTATGGTTAAAGAGCGAAACATTCAAATTTAAAATAAAATGTTGTTACAAATTTAATTTTGAAACTGCACTATCTGTGTAAGGGTGTGAATAAAAATGTTGCTTAGTGTACATAACACTTTATCTATCTCGATTAGACTTAGGTGATACAAACAACCGTTAAGTAAACAAAATTATTATATTCTGTACCAACAGACAAGTGAACATTAAAAGCACAACCCGTTTGAATTAAAGGCGTGGAATATATATCGAGATGTCAAGTTACTTTTGAACGGTATGAGATGTGTACATTCAACCAATCACATATACTCCTCTCTAGGGGTTATAGGTCTTAAAGTTTTGACAGATGAACGCACGGACAGACAGATATCCGAGGTTCAATTCATGTTATCGTCCTGTATCATACTCGAGTAGTCTGAACAAAGATATTATACTCTGTGCAACATGTTGCATGTGTATAAAAAAAATTAACCGACCAACAAAAACAAAACCAATAGAATAATCGATATTAACTGCAGCGTTCGGTAAAAGTTTGAAACTAATTAAAATTCTGATAAAATAGAATCAATTTTGCAAAATACGCCAGAGACCTTAATTGCAACAGCAAAGAAACGAAAAATATTATCAGAATTTCGAAAATAATACGGTATGCGGACGTAATTGCAAAAACTGAAATTCAGCCCCTCAGAATTAGCGAAACACACAATCAAAACACGCCTCCTAAACAGATTAAAATATCGGTGGTAGTTAGTGTGGTATTCGGAAATATTCATGCGCTGTTATTAAGCAAAGAAAAACCTTAAAAATCCATTTGCGTGAAGGTGACGCTGTAGAAGAGCTAAAAACAACATATATATATGGTGTTGTCGAAGAATAAGAATTATCACTCATCTGAAGCTTGAACACAGCTTGCGCATGCGCATAACTGCAAGTTGTACAAACAACTTATTTGCATTAAGTATTTGTTGCTTCATTATAAACGCATGTGTGTGTTTTTTGTTTCTAATTTTCCGTCTGCTTAATTCTATTTATTTACCTTTAATTGCATACTAAAACAGAAGCGATTAAGCAATATAGTTAAATTTATAAGAGGGCGGGAAGAAGAGTGAGGAAGGTCGCGCACGCACGCAGTTTAACCCCTACGTGCGCAGCGTGAAAATGATAATTATAAATTATACTGAAATGAAATATTTTTCCAATGGATGGATTTAGTATCTGTTCTGTATCTCGTGTTGTATAAATGTGATCGGGTTTCGCTATGGACAGTTATTTGTTTGCTTGACTCAGTATTGTGATATATTTTACAGGCTCTCTTTGATAAAGGCAAAAACGTAAGTCATGTGGCTGAGAAAGTGAGTAGTGTTTATGATCCTGGTGCTGTAGCAGCCAATCACGGTCGATTTCGACGATTCTATTCCGATAATTTTATTGTCAAAAATTAACAACGCGCTCGAAAGTCAACTGTCAAAAATGTCTGTTTCGATTATTCAGGAGTTAAACATTGTACAGAAAACTATTTGGGACTGTTTATATAGGCCTGGATACAAACCGAAGTTCAAATTATGGGTGCCACATGAGCTAACGCGAAAACCCTCGTGAACAAAATTTCAATCCGACAGTGTCAGAATATATCGAAATGAAGGATCGAATCGCCGGAGCGTACAGGACCGCTGGGTAATACGATCCCTTTCGTAGGTGGTTTTGTTAATTGCTGGTATGAGATGTCATCACATGTGGTGATCTCTTGTGTGATGATATTCTGTGTGATGTGGTTATGAATGGTGTGAATGTAAGTGGTATTCCCAAGTGTGGTGGGTAGTATAAGAGAGTGATAATATTGTTCCGATTTGAGTGGTGGTACATGTAGTATTATTTTGTACTTCAAGATATAGTCTAAGTTCATTTAAATACATTGTTAGGACGCTGTTAATTTCAGCCCAAGTGAAACGAACGAAGGGTTAAGAGCACCGCGCCGTTACAAATGTGTCCTAACTGAAAACGTATATGTGTGTGCGACCATAAATACTTCTACTCATGCGCTACGAGGTAAGGTAGATCGTGCTTCTATTTTGATTACTCTAATTTGAATTTTCTGATATTTGTATGTGCCTAAGTGCCGCCAAACAAAAACAAAATCCCAAATGTTCATAAAAACGCATAAAAATGTACGAATACCTATGTATAAACACGTGTACCGCTGTCATTGTTGGCGTAGTTGCTCAGCATACAAATATTGTTGTTATGTTGAATGCACTAGAAGTAAATATCTAAAGTTGTGTTAATATTTTTGTCTCTGGCATTTGTTGTTGTAATATCTAACGAATTCACTTATCACGGTCAATTATGGCCGAACGTCGGCTGCTCAACGCAATCGCTTAAAAAATGATAATTATAAAACAAAAACAAATTACTTGATATATACTGGTTAGAGAATCAGCAAAAGAATTTCGAGAAAATTGTTTAACCACAACAACAAAAACAAAGTGAATAGCAGAAAAAAATGTCACAAGACCTAAGACAATTTTTTTTCGTAGCCAATCAATTTGAATAGTTGCTGCGTCAGCTTCGTTGAGTGTCGTGCGAAGCGAACAAGAAAAACTACATCGGTTAGTAAGCACGGCACGAAGATTTTGAAGATTACTCAAATTTGCATATCTAATCAAACTGGCATTCATCGATTGGTTCATTCCACTGCACGGATGGTAACACGCAACCCCGGCTGTTTGGCTAATACAGCGGTGCTTTAGTGAACTGCCAATTCTGCTGTGTTGAGAAAAGGAGTTTAACTACTCTGCGTAATGGACTGACAGCTGAATTTCAAAACTAATTATAATTGCAACAGACCAGCTGTAACGAATCGCAGGCATAAATCCAGCTGGCCATTGGGGAATGCATCAAAGTGGTAATCAATGCGACATTCATTACTTTTACCTGTAAACGATTCAAATTCGATCAAACACATATACTCACTTAGCTAAATCAAATTTTCAAGCGTAACACAAACAATCTTCCGCTGATGTGGACCTTAGGACCGCCCGTTAAATGCCCTCGAGCTACCATGCAAGTGTGGTCTTTTCTAGGGCTCTCCACCACACAAAGACCCTATTAAACATAATGGGCACTATGGTGTCGCAGAACCAGAGGACTACTTTTGCCAATGGTGCCCTAAATACTCCAGCGTATCTGAAGGCTGCAAGTGGATGATTCCTATCCGCGGTAGTGATGCTTTCGAGAACTTTTATCTCTTAGTAAATTAAACCATCTCAGAGTGATGTTACGACGTTGCTGTACCCTTGCGTCAACGCGTACACGGTACTCAAGAACTTACATTTAACCACACGAACAAAGACTTCTGCATAGGCAACCACCTGACAGCCACGGTCGTTAAGTTTTTTCATTAGGTCCTTGACGATCAAGTTCCATAGACTGGAGAAAGAAATCCTCCCACTCATATTTCGACGAGCACATGCACTTTTTCACTCTGTCACGATCATTCAGGCAAGACGTTTTGCTACGCTCCCTTAATATTAAGGAAGGTCCCAACTGCGAATTCTTTAAACCTTAAGGCTTCCTCAAGCCGGACAGTGATCGTGTCCTACTCTTAAAATAAGCGTGCTGCGCTCTTGATAAATTGTCTCTCGGAATACGCCCCCTTAAATAGTTCCCGTTTTTTTCTTTATTCAGATTAAATCCATATTCGAATAAGAAATGAGATGTATTTGGAATGTTCAAAATATCTAAAAAAATTTAATTTATCCTAAAACTTTATTCAATAGGTGGCATATTGAAAAATTTGTGTTTCCCTGCCAAATCCACTGGAATGTCATAGCGTTTGGGTAGTCAGTCAGCTTCAGTATGTGACACTTTGAATTTTATTTTTCTGTGTTTAGATAGCATGAGTTTCTAGAAATGAAAGTTGCCCCTAGAGCCCCTCTTAAAAATTTTATTCGGAAGAATGTCCCAGAAACCACCATTTGAAATCAAAATGTTAGTATACAACTTTGTTTTATGCGGAAACACATGTTTTATTAAGTCTGAATAAAAATTCTTCCAAAATATGTTGTCCAAATAACTTGTTGAGAATAAATAGTAGGAGTAGATGGATTCAATGTCTATATGTCAATTAATGCAATATTCTCCTCCATTGTATACAGCGGCTGTTCAAATTTTGCTTCATAAATATTACTTATTCGTACGAATTACGTTTGATTTTCATACAAACTGTACCAATAACTCGAAAAGTTCGTACGAACGGTTCGAATGAAATTTGCTCGCAATTCGAACTAAAATGCAGACATAAGAGCGTGCGAACTGTTCTGGGAAGAACGGGAAGGAAATCAAAGAAGGTAAGATGGCGCTCACGACAGTCGTCATCTCACCATCAAAATGACAATCCTTCAAGTAATAACAACGATCCCACTGTGGAACATGAGCGTTAATTACCTAATTCCGTGGTTGCAGAAATATAACGCGAGACACGATTTTTAACATACGTTTGAACCCTTAAAACCCCCTTTTGCGTACGCCCTTAATTGCATATACATACAATTATTTGCGTATAAAGAAGTGATGTGTAATCTGCCGAAGTATTTCTCACCATAAAATCAGCTGTTTTTGCCTTCCATACTGTTTTTGCTTTCCCTCAAATTTTTTTTGCCGTTTACATTATTTTTTGTTTCTGCGCACCCAATTAACTTCTCTTCAATGCTCACGCTAACTCAAATTATATTCTGTCGCATGGTCTTTCAAAGGCTTTAAACAACATTATAATTTGTTCAATGTTTTTACTTGGTCATTTTATGGATACGACGATTTTGTTCACTACTAATTGATCTGTCGTTGCCGTTCGATATCTGCAATGCCATTGTAAATTGCTGTTGATCAATGCAAAATTTGAATTTGTTGGCAAATAAAAATTAATGCTTGCGGATTTAAGCCGATTTAAAGATTAGCTCAAATAAAGAAACCAAAGGTTAATGAATGGTCCCTCGAAGTGAATAATGTTATATATAAAGACATAACTAAAATTTTTACCGCTTTGAACAATCTGAATCACTATATGAACAATTAAATAAAAGTTTCGAGTATTTTCTATGACACAAGAATGTATGAATCAATATTTTTCAAAAAACATATATATTTTAGTTAATATTATTTACACTTAAGCTTTGTAATCCACACTTCCCTTACCACGCCCCGTTTGGCACACCCTGGGCGTATGAGTATCCGCCCAACGGCAGGGGGGCGCGAAATTTCTTAAACAGAGATCCTGTGGAGAGCACTGTGGGTGCGGCATACCTTGCTGAACCTAAGAAAGATGGTGGAGCAGCATATGCCACCGGAGCACCATAAGCTGTATTTGGCGCCGCAAATGTGGTTGCTATAGGTGCTGCTGGAAATGCCAACGGTGAACCGATATTTGGCACCTGCGGAGCTGAGAAGCCAATAGCAGTCGTATATGTAGTAGTTACAGGCAAGCCGGCGGTGGCTTTTACATGTGGCTGAGCTGCATATTTCACAAACGAAGGCGCGGGTGCCCCATAGTTGAACTGTGGCACTTGCGCATAATTCACGGGGTAAGAAGCGTATACGACAGGCTTGGCGAAGGCAGCACCGCCATAACCCTGCAAAGGCGGTGTGTCACATGGTATGGGCGTGGCAAAGACTACACCATTCGGTGCTTCGTTAAAAACATGTGGTGCGTCTATATAACCTGCCTCAACAGTGTGTTGAGCGGTAAGCATAAGGCACAGCAGAGTTGATAGTTTCTGAAAATATATTTAAGAAATTAAAAGATTTTTTAACCGATAACTTAATGAGACTTACCATTTTAAGCATTTTTGTTAGTTGTTTATGAAATAATAGAGTTGTCACTTCCACTTCCTTCAATTGAATGATGGTCCTTCACTATTCGAAAGTGAATTTATACAATAATAAGTATTTGCATAGTACATGCTATACTTTGGATTATAGCAGTAAAACTGCACTTATTGACAAGTTAGTCGTGCCTTCAAATCACGCACAACTCTTTTACTTCAGAAAGTTTAAATTTAATGCAGAAAAAATATATATAAAAGTTGCCGTCACTTCCGTTATAGCTTGTGGCAAGTAAAGTCGCCACCTTAAAATCGTGGCTGTAGAATCGATCGATACACGAAAGTTCGTACGTGACCCATGAGTTGACGCAATGCCATGTTGCGTAAGTAGCGGTCAATACACCACTCAAATGTATTATATAATTAATATATATATATAATAAATAGAGTTTTGATATAAGTTGTTATTTTGGCTTTTGAAGTTCGAGACAAAAAATTTTAATATTATATAATATGTATATGTGTTTTATGATTTACTGTTGGCTCAATTGCTTTGCAATTGCTATTTCTTCGTTTTTTGAAGACAAGATTTTGCAAAGTTTATCTTTTCGCTTAAATTTATTAACTGGATATAATATTATCTGATCCTACTTCATAAAGGGTTGGAAGAATGTTAAGGGGTTTGGTGTAGTCAGAGACAGAGAAAAAATTACAATTTTAACTAATTTGTTTTTGCCAGATTTCGATTTAACTTTACAGAAATTTTAAAAAAATTTAAAAGTAATGACTGTTTGTGTTGATTCAGTTCCAATGAAACTCTTTATGGTGACCAACACTAATCCTTGCAGATAAAATCAATCGGTAAAAAAATTGTATTTTTATGAATACTTATATAATATAGTGCATGATTGAAGCTGTTTTCTAAAATTGGCACAAGGGCGGTCTCATGAAATTTTTTTTCATATTTTCGGAAAAATACCAACAGTAAATTATGTATTAACAATATACAAAATTTAAATAAAAAAAACCTACGATCATGTTTTCTTATCATGTTTAAAAAAAAGTGTATAAATTTTATTGAATTTTATCGAACGGTTTTCGAGCTACAGGCTGAACTGGCGACCGTTCCGAAAAAAAACATAGTTTTTAGAGAAATACTTTTGAAGTTTTACACAAGCGTCCCAGAGTCCCCGAGAAACCTTCGCTAATTATCGAATACCTCGAACAGTACTTGTCGGTTTTACTTAAAATCTTTAAAGAATATTTCAAGAATATGAGGTATCCTAATTTTAAGAACACATTATTGATCCAATTATAAGATCAAATATTTCTATACCTTGTATTATTCTTTGGAAATTTGTAGTGGGATTTTGATATTGGAAAATTCCAATCAAGGGAAACCATAGCTTCATTAGAAATTGTTTTAATACGAAATCTGAAAGTAATATCGCATTAAAGTCAAATATTCTGAGCATAATTTTTTAAATATTTAAAACTTTTTAATTTTTGTCCTTTAGGGACATTTCTTATATCCTTGACTGTTCGACAATTCTAGAGATTTACTGAAATCTTAATCTACACCGTATAAATGGGCCAGTCGTCTGGAAATCTTATTGAAGCCGGGCAATTTTTTTAAATCAATTTATATATATCACGCTACACTTTCCTATAGATCTCATTTAAAGTATTTTCGCCTTCTCTCTAATTTTAAACTTTATACACAGCACATTGGTCTGTATGAGGCATTACTTAAAGAAAATGTGGGCGTTTATTTTCCTTAGCGTAAGCACATCATTACCAAAACTGGAAGCAATTAGTATGTACTGTTATGTATGTAGCAGTTAGAGATTTTTTAAGAATTTGTATTTCATTTTTTGTAAAGGTATGAAGAGACCTGGCAATATTTCAAATCCATTAGTTTTCACAAGTTAAAGTCCAACATTTTGCAGTTTATTGAAAATAGAAACAGAAACAACCTATTTAAAAAATAAAATTCATAATTTTTACATCAAAGAGTATTTCTACCAGAGTTGACTCTTTTGCAAAAAGTTGATTAATCCCTAAACTGTCTATTTGACATCCAATACCACATTCACCGGTTCCAAAGAAAAGCTGTTAAGCGAAAAAATATTAAAACCAGAAAGCAACGTAAAGAAGGTCGAATTTAATTCGCTCTGCAGTTAACGGGTATCATTTATATAATTATGCATATTTAATGCGTGAGCCATTACCACTCCCATTTCGAACTTTCAATGTCAAGTACAATTTCGATTTACCATAAATCGCCAATTTGTGCATCATTTTTTGTTGTTTCACAATATATATACATATGTAAACATTTCCACTTGAACCACATATGGTATGCAAGTTGCTAAATATAATTGTAAAGTACCTTACGGTGTCCATATAGGAAATTCGCGACTTTAAAAGTGATGTGCATGTGTAAGCCATCGTATCGTACGAAAAATAGTGACTTTTTAATAGAAAATATTAAGTTTCAATATTTATACTGTTGCCACAGAGTGTAATAGTTATCTTTACCTAACGGTTGTTTGTATCACTTAAATTTAATCGAGATAGATATAGAGTTATGTATATATAATTGTTCAGGATGAAGAGATGGAGTTGAAATCCGGGTGACTGTCTGTCCGTCCGTCTGTCCATGCAAACGATAACTTGAGTAAATATTCAAATATTTTGATAAAATTTGCTATATAACTAGGCGTAGTCGGACCACTGCCACGCCTACATAACGCCATTAAACGAAAACCTTTTAAAGGCCATATCTCAGCAATGAGTTAAAATACAAAATTGTGATTGGTACATTTTTTTCAAAGTGGGCGTGGTCTTGACCCCTAAATGGTATGCAAATATCTTGCAAACTGCTGAACCCATCTCAACTAAACATGTTTTTTAGCTCATCTTCATACACTGTTAAATGGCTAAAATCAGATAATAGCCATACCTACTTCCCTTATAAAAAACTTTTAATGTTCATCTGATGCTTCACTTTACCGTGTAAAAATTAAACATTAATGAAGTTATCATAATAAAAGTTTGCACAAATAGTGCCCTCTAGCTATTTAATTTTACGCCAAAGAATTGCAGAAATCGGATTATAAGATTTCAAGGACCCAGACACCAAATATGTGGACCCCATTGCATATAGCTGATCTTGCAACCTAACATATCGATATCTGAGGTCAATAACATATAGTATCTGAGGTCCATTGTCAAAATTCATGGAGAATATTTGTGTAATGATATCATGGCCTTCCGCTTTCATCATACATTATATAAATATTTTCAAACTTTCTGACTCTATATCTCATCTTTCGGCCAATATGTGGGGAATCTTATTGAAATTCAGAAACAATCTTTTTTTAATAACAGTGTATCCTCTTGCCTTAAATGTTTGAAATCAGAGCAATCCTTCGCCTAATCCTCATATGCTCAATATTTAAAATTAGTTAAGAAAGATTCTTACTTCGTTTGCTTACCTAACAATATTTGTTTCAGTCATTTACATGTATTCTATTGTATATAAATATATATTATACTAGGCGACCTCCGCTGCGCTCCGGGACGCTCGTTTCGCTCGCTCGCCTACGTCCGCCCCCCGCCGAGCGCGAGCTAGCTCGCTCTTATGTTAGTTGATTCTCGACAGCAGCAAAAAACTTTTATATATAATAGAGAGATAACACTTTTTTAGATACCACATATTTCTATTAAGGAAAGTATTATTTGGTTTTTCATCGCTTAAGACATTCCTACAGGGCATGGTTTCTTGTTAGATACACTTCAAACATCAGTTCATAAATCAGTCAATTCAAATTAGTTTAAACTTTAACAAAAGCTGCCATATTTAGATTCAAAATCATGAAAGTGCACTTATCTACTCTGTAAAAATTACATGAAATAAGTATATGAATATTTAGTTATACATGGTAGCTATCGATGAGCCGATTTCTTTTTCGTTACCCTTTCCAGAAGACTGCAGCGAGGTCAATGCATTCCAATGAATTCATTTCAGTTTTGAATTTTATTTTGAGTTAATTTCAGCAATATTATTTAATTATAATTGAGGGCAATACACTGACACAATAACAAAACCATCTGCATAAGCGCTAATACCACCATAACGGCTGCATTAGCTTGCGGCTGACGCATCCACTTGTGGTGCTCATTTGTTATTTTGTTTTGGTGCTTGAAAAAATTAAAAAAGAAAATAAATTAAAAATGTGATCATGTGATGGAGCAAAACACACGTTTTTATTGCCATTATTCCATTATTTGAAATGTCAGTCCGTTAGCCGGTCATGTGACGGCGAAAAACAATTTGCTTTAAAAATTGCTGATTGCACTAAATTTAGAAGCGACATAAATTTAATAAAATTACTATTGTAAAATTAACATAACTGTTTTGTGCATATTCGATTAGCTACATGCGAACTCATTAAAAAAATTCGCTTACAAATGTACATTCGAGTATATTCCGCAAAATCCTATGCGTATTTGTTTTTGTTGGACTTTTAGTTTCGTTGCAATTTGAAAAATTTGCGTTGCCATATAGGTCAATCAGTATGTCAATAAATTGTATCCTATTATGTTTCCATGCATGCCATAAGCATACGAATTTACTGCTACACGTTGAAGCAGCTTGAAAAAATTAGGTTGCGTGCCACTGATGCAGACCAAGAATGGAGAGTAGCACTCGCGTTGCGAATACATACATTTAAAATATAAATAATATCTAAACTGGTTATAGCAGGTGGACAAATTCGAAAAGAAGAAGTGGATTTATTATAAAAACCGTTATTTAATTATCACACACTCTTTTCCACTTTTACATAGTATGCACAAATTGAAACTGACATTCAGTAATAAGTTTACCGTATTTTGTAGTGACAAATAATTTATTTTATTATTTTTGCACAAATTTAAATATTGAGCTTTCTGCTTTCCATCTTAAATAGATTTTTTAGCACGATTATTTGTTTTTGAAATTTATTTCATTTATACATATATTAGCGATATGAGTATGAAATTATTAAGGTAAGCATAACAAATATGCAAA